GGCTTTAGGTACAGAGACTGGGGATAGTTCCCTGTCAGATAGTCCTTAATGTCAGTACTGGAAGATGGAATATCATTAGCAAGGGATAAACCAATGGAAGAGAAGAACCTATTGAACTCAATAGCAGAATCAGAGGCTGAAAGCTGACCATCGTTATTAGACAGGAGAGTCGGTTTGTTATTTAAAGACTTCTTTGATCCCAATATTTGTGAAATTGTCCTCCATGTTTGTTTAATGTTGCTCTTTATTTGGGTAAATTTATCTTCGTAGTACTTAGTTTTGGCTCGTCTAATTATCTTAGATAGCAATAATGAGTAATTCTTTGAGAATTCTTTGGAGACAATCCCTAACCTATACTTTTTCTCAAGGTCATGTTTTTTATTAATAGATTTAAGTATTCCCTTTGTAAGCCAGGGATTGTTAAGCCTTTTGGTTGTGACTTGTTTTGTAAGCATAGGACAGTGGGTATTATAAAGGCTAAGAGTTGTTTGTAGAAAAGATTGCACTGCTAGGTTGATGTCCCCTATGTTACCTAACTCGGACTCCCAGTTGACATTATCAGCAGCAGTTATAAAATTGTTTATAGCAGTTTCATTGTGCAGCCTAAAGCTTAACTCCCTTGTTTCTAGAGGTGGTTTGCTAATGTTAGTTAAGAGAAATATGGGGTAATGGTCTGTAGTGCTATCGGTGATTATACCTGAAGTAAGCGGAGAGGTTATATTTGTCCAGATGTGATCTAGAGTCGTGGCAGTGCTATCAGTGATTCTAGTAGGTCTAGTGATTAAGGGTATGAGGAAGCAGGAATTTAGTTAGAGTAGAGTTTAGTTACTTCTCCCTTTCACCCGCGCTGTTTCATGATTTACTTAAACATAATGAACTGAATTCATTTGAGCTACAGGATGAAGATAGTGAGAAGTGAAGATGGTTATAAAGACCGTATATAAAGTGAAGATAATATATAGTGCAAGTGGAAGGTGAAGAGAGTGAATGAGATGAAGGGAGAGAGAAAAGGGAGAGAGAAAATGAAAGTTCAAGTACGTTTAGAGACATTAAGATACATCTCATGATGTAAGGTGTGGGCGTGCGGCATACCACACAATTTACACTGCTCATCTGTTTCACTGACATCAACACCGTATTGCCAGAAATATTTTTATAGCCTACTCTTAATGTCTTGTAAATTTAATCCTACCAAGTAGGCTTTCCACTACCATAAGTGAAGGACGAGTTTGTGTTTATTATTGCACTAGCTGTACCCGGCCTCAGTAACCCTTCCCTGCCCCCCCCCCCCCGTCCTCCCAATCATTCCCCACTCCACCGTCCCCTCGTCCTCCCCACCATCCCCCCCCCACTCTCCAGTACCCTTGTCCTCCCCACCATTCCACCGTCCCCCTTGTTTTTCCCATTATTTTCCCCTCTACCGTCCCCTCGTCCTCCCAAAAATTCTCCACTCCCCCGTCCCCTCGTCCTCCCCACCATCCCCCACTCCCTCGTCCTCCCCAATATTAACCCCTCGTCCTCCCCACCATTCCCCCGTTCTCCCAACTCCCTCTTCCGATGCGTTCCCAAATGATCTGATGTTCCATCAGAAAAATGGGAACATCAAATTATCTGATGTTCCCATCACTGAAAAATAAGACGTTAAAAAAAAAGAAATGATAAACAATGAAAACATAAAAAATAAACTATACTCACAAAATGAATGGTATGCTCAATTATTATTTAAATAATTAAATAAATAAAAATAAATTGAAATCTATAAAAAATTAATTTATCAATGCAATCGGAAACATTGAAATTTAATTGTAACATATTTAGTATAGCGTGTGTTGCGTTTACGTGCGACAGATGGCACTGTTTAAAAAAAAAAGTTTTTACCTGCCACAGGCGTGGCATCTATATAGTAGGTATATAAAAACACGTGTGTATTCGAATGGAACGTTGTGTAAAAATTTCAAAGCAATCGGTGAAGAATTTTCGGAGATTACAGGGTGTTCCTTTTATGTGCTACAAAGGACACTTTTCCAAAAATGCATGTTTTACCTGTCACAGGTGTGACATGTATATAGCAGGTATATAAAAACACGTGCGTACTGGAATGCAACGTTGTGTCAAAATTTCAAAGCAATCTGTAGAGGTTTCGGAGATTTCCCTCACATGAAAACTCACAAGAAAAACAGTTAAAAAAAAAAATTGTTTTTACCTGCCACAGACGTGACATCTATATAGTAGATATATAAAAACACGCTCATATGCGAATGGAACGTTGTCAAAATTTCAAAGCAATCGGTGAAGAACTTTCGAAGATTATCGACTTTGAACAAACGAACATTTACATTTTTATTTATACATATAGATAATGGTTAAGTGTGTTACAGCAGTCCACCATTACTGTCCTCACTTTTTTCTTCATCCTCTTGGATCATCTTGATTCTTGTCTTTATTTGTTTCAAAGTTTTAAGACATACAACATCGACACGAGTTTTTTCCGTGGCTCTATTCATTATCTTATCAACTGCTTCATTCAACAATACTCCCACATGTGAAGGGATCCAAATTACTCTTACTTTATACTCATTTTTTTTAGCTGATATACTGTTCTTTTGCTATTCAATGATTCCAACGCTCCTCGACTGTCAATTAAAAAGCGGGCATCTTTACCACATTTGGCTACTTCCTTCAAGCCTGCTAATACCGCTTGAGTTTAGCCTGCCCATGCACTTTGCCCAAGATTCCTGGAATTCTATATTCATCAAGAATTGTAATAAACTCACTCTCACAGGCCTTGTACAACATTTGGAGATGGAGCCTAGATACTGGTAATTTTTCCACAAGGGTGATGAGAGATGTAGCGCAAAATTGGTAGATATGGCAGAGAAACAATGCTTAAAGCAGCATATTACAAAACCAACACGAGTGAAAGGAGACCTGCCAGCAACACTAGACCTGGTGTTTTCCAAAAATGAGGCTGACGTTTGAAAGATTAAGTATAAGATGCCATTAGGATCTAGCAACAGCTGCATTATCATGCTCGAGTACATAGTGGAGCTGAAAAAGTTGGCGAGACAAAACACCTAATAAGGAAGATGAGAGATTACAGACATGGGGACTACATTAAGGTGAAGCACTTTTTTTTTACATGAAAGTTCAGTGGGAAAGAGAACTGATGCAACAGCTGTTCATTCCACTCAAGAAGATGGACAAGAAAAAAAACCAGGTACACAGACAGTGCAAGGAAGCAAATCTAACCAAAAACCATGGAATATGTAGAGAAATAGGAATTCTTGAAATATCAAGGCTTTGCTTCCACCTTTAGTTGCACCACGAGGGCGAGACTTATTACCTTATTAAATAGGAAAATTATCAGAAGTGCTAAGCCAGTATGACTTTATAGCATTTACCTTATTAAATAAGGTCCAGTACTGGTATATCACAGAAAAACTGAAGTCCAATACTTGTTGGTAACAACCTCGAAAAGTATTAATACTCCCACTGCACAAATTAAAAAATAACCATTTAATGTTAAATTTTCGATTACATTTTATGATTACTGCTTTGTATTACATCGTTTTATTAACAAGTTTTTACGGCCTAGCGAAATTCCCAGCAAACGAGTCCTTGATTTTTTGTATTATCTACCTCTGGTGCTAAGTAACTAGTTATATTTTTTTCTATACGGTACTGGGATTTAAGCCTTGGACAAAATACTGGAACCAAGTAGGCTGGTTAGTGTTTTTTTTCACAATACATTATGCTGACTTACTATCCATTTAATTCCTCAGCCTCGTACTATGAGGCCTTTCCTGAAGGCCTAGTCTAGTACTGTATTAAAATTTTCAACCAGCATAATGTCTTATCAAACATGCAACATTAATTTGGTAATGTAGATAAATTCAAATCACATTTCCAAGGATTTTTTTTCAAATTCATTAATGTATAACAAACCTTGTTTTTTAATGATACTGTATGCCTATCCATATTAACATATAAAACCCTTATTAAAACCATGTAATGTATGTAGGGGAAACAATTCGAGAATACATTTTTAGAGGTGACGTTCCACCTGTAATGGCTTTTTCCAACCATTATCTTCAAATAATATCCAGTCTCAACCTGGTGCTGCTTTACATGGTTGTCTGCATTATGGATTGCAAAAACTGCTCAAGAATTGGAAATTTAGCCTGTCCTCCTGGGTTCATATATATGCTTTTAAAGTTTAAATTCCTTGCATGACAAGTTAATTTCAAAGTTGGCCATATGATGTTCATTGGAATCTGTCAACTCTCCCTACACCTTATTTATCAACATTCAATTTATAATTGAGAAAGCAATTTTCAATAATTGTTTTTTAGTAACCATTTTTAATCTTCACAATGTAAATAGCTTTCTTATATTTACACTTAAGGAGTAATACCATTGCAAGGCTGCTATAGCAGATGTAAGGTACATGACAGGAATTAACCTTCAAATTTCATGAAGCTAGATAATCCAAATAAATATTTTAGTAATTTCACACTGAATGTAAATGAAACTTCAGCACATGGGAAATTATTATGTTAAAATTTGAGCCAATGTCCATGCTATCTTAAGATGATTTCAGGGCATAGCATCCTCGCAGCCCGGTCCTCGATCAGGCCTCCTTTTTGTTACACATTCCCTAGGAAACAGCCCGTAGCAGCTGTATAACTACCAGGTACCTATTTACTGCTAGGTGAACAGGCGCATCAGGGTGAAAGAAACTGCCCATTTGTTTCTGCCTCCAGCAGGGATCAAACCCGGAACCTCAGGACTACGAATCCGAAGTTGTCAGGCCCCCTCATGCTAAAAACAATTACTGTTTCATGGTTGATAATATGGGTTCAATTCCCAATTACAATTAACATTAACTGAAACCCTTAACTACATAACTACCAATAAATATTGTAGTGGTTCATTGTATCAATAGCTTAGCATACTGTACTTAAAAATAACAAATTAAAGGAATAAAAAAAATTATGCCAGCAACATTATAATTTATTTTATAAAAATATTTTGATGAAAATGAGTATTTGTACAATGCATGTGATATAAATGTGTTTATACATAATCTTTAGTACGGTCAAGATTACCATCCAAACATTTGTGGTGTGCAACTTAGCCATGTAGATTGCAAAGTACTTGTATCTCCCTGCAAATATTGTACCTTATTACTAAAATGAGAATAAATAGTATTTGTACTGAGTAAATTTACTGGTTGAACCATAACCAAATAATTATTACTACATATTGGATAATCATGAACATACAAACTTTTCAAGTAATACATTTAACAAGCAGCCTCTTGTGATTCAGTATACCCTTATACCCAATTTACACAGGTGGAGGCAATTGATAAACTATTTAAAACCATTACATATTATACCCAGCCTTTTATTCCTAATGTACCCACTGGTATATCTATACAAATATAATGTAATAAACAAAAAATTTTATACAGTACTTCATAAATCTTCATTATATTCTTTCATTACAATATATATATATATTGTATTCTATAATTTTTTATCGAATACATCGAATACGTCTCCCCTATCTATATCGAATACGTTATCGAATACATTGAACACGTCTCCCCTATATATATATATATATATATATATATATATATATATATATATATATATATATATATATATATATATATATATATATATATATATATATATATATATATATATATATATAATAAAATAAGCAGTTGCCTAACACAACACAATTTTCCTATACTGTATACAGTAATTAATTGTTCAACCATTTCCTCATATGGAATTCAATTGGTTTCATTACAATATATATGATCATGATTACTTTTAGTCAAAACTTAGGCACTTGACCTAATCAATCCCAACCTACATAAGTTCAAAATTCATTTTCTCAGTACAGTACTGTATATATTTATTGTTATGGATAAACTTGGAAATTAATTTGAAAATACTGTATGCAAAATTTCTTTGCCTATTAGGCAAAACTATGACCCAGAAAATACCAGGCAAGCACCATAATCATTATACCCATGACATGAAGAATGGTGGCTACCTTCTACTCACACACACACACTCTTTTCTTCAACCTTCCACAACACCAGTAGTAGCCATTAGTATTCCGTTCCCATGAAACAAATTACACAAATTGCAAAGCACAGAAGTGCGGGAATAATATTTAATTTGTTCAGTATGTCAAAGACAAACTGCCACTCAGTAAATACTAGGAGCAGCATTTTCTGTCAAACAAAAAACCCAAACAAATTTCAATGTTAATTTTTGGACATTACCAATAAAAAAATAAAAAGTCAGCTAACTCAAAAGGAAATGGGGCCCCATATGATTCTGATTACCTAGCAGAGCCAGTAACACAGCCCATGGCACAAATCATATACACAGTATATTGTATATTGTATTGCAATATACAAGAGTGGGAATAACATTTCATCTTATCGGAATGCCAGGAAGGTAATTTGTTATTTCCACACTACTATGGTTTGCAATTTGCTATATGATTTATGTCATAGGTAGAAAATACTTTTGGCTACTTCTGATGCCACAGGTCTAAAAGACAGATAAGGGTAGCAGACAGCCACCATACCTCTCCTTCCTGTAATAGAAGCTATGGTACAATGATTGGAAACTTTTCCTAATTAAAAAGAAAAAATTTATAACAATATACTGGTAATAAAATCTGAATTATACACACACACACTATAAATATATACATACATACACAGTATGAAGCACAAATATTTTTATATCCAGCCACTTCCTACTGACAAAAGATTGTGGTAAATCTGAGAACTGACATCAAAACACAAAAAATTTAATAATTGGGAATACTTTTAACCATTGGCAATCTAAATTTCAGAGGTACTTTTTTTGCAAATCTTCATGGCTAAGCTTAAGGACTCACCCGACATACTTAACTTTTAGACGAGAGCAGCGACTGGTGGCCAGCGAAGTAGCTGCAAGTTAAAAGATCTTTTCCAGTAAGATAATTCTGGACAAATGGTTGGATGGTTGAACAGACAGCTTATAAGCCTACAGGTAAAAGTCAACAAAATTTAATCTAAATGTATTTATATTAATTGGTTTAATTAACAAATCAGCTTCCACTTTGCTTAATGACATTTACCCTTATACAACAAATCTGTCTAAAAATACATGACCAAAAGCTTAAATACGTTCAACTACTTGTATAGTAATGTTATATAACTAATATTACTGTACACACAGATAATGTAAATAAACATTCACCATAATTGTAACCATCAGCTACATAATGAAACCGGCTGGAAAAATAGTACAGTACTGGTACCGTCTTAAACGATGCTTACCAAAAGAGGAGGGACAGATAGTAGGGGGCTACAACGGTGTGGTAAGGACGGGCCCCTGTCCCAATATAGGATCAGGGGGTCCCATCCCACCTGTGCCGTGAGTCAGCTGCCGCCCGTTCCAGTCACCTCCCGCTGGCTGTGGGAAAAAAAGAAGAAAGCGTAACACAGGCTTACCAACAAGGACAATATACTGTATATAAATGCAGATTTTAGACTTTTTCACATACTGTTTGTAATATTTACTTTTGATAGTGACTGGTGCTATACATATGTGCCATAACATAGAAAACTGTACAGAGAATAATGTCTTGAAATTTCCATTAGCCTACCATTTTATCCTAACAAAATAATGGGTTACAGAATATTTTCAATAAATTATGACTATGCACATGGCTATTATACCATGTTGATAAATTTACAAATCGGGCATATTTTTCTACCCATGCAAAATGCACATTTGCATTTGAAAAAACAAATATTGCACAACACTTCCTTACATATTTCAAACACACTTTATCACTCAATTTATATTACAAATCACAAAGGGTGGAAAAGCACTTGTTCTCATTGAAAATAAATTTTCTTTCCAGCTTTTTTTGCACAATAGGAACAATATTCAATGGTTGCTTCTTCACCATCTACATGCAAACACATACCACTTGTCATAACTTCATCTTCATTTCCACTAGCTGATATGTCACCAAGTATCACACTAGATGGTCCCAATTTCCCAATGAGTGAAGACAACTTCGACTGATTCTTGAGAACATTATTGAGATGTTTTACTTGCTGTTCTAGTTTTAACTTTGCTTCCCTAAGACTCTCATTTTCCCCAGCCAGCTGATCACGCTCTCTACTAACATCCTCCACTTTTCGCTGTAAATCTGCCATACGAGCTTTTTTCAATTCCCTATTACGCTTTGCACTAATTGCATTTAGCCGACATCTTTCCATCAGCGGGTCTTCCTGTGGTTCAAGTTCATATGCTTTACGCTTTGATCCACAAGGCGAAGGTTCACTGCTGTCTGAAGTCCCAGATAGGCGTTTGACACGAAGTGACCTGAATGGCATTTCTTCTGTTGAAATTGCTGCATCAGGAGCTGAAGAGGCAGATAAAGCTTGGGTTCGTACCAAAGGTTGATTGGCAGATGTTGGAGAGATGAATACTGCAGTTTTACTTGCAATAACTGATGGCCCAAGCTTGTCTCCAGAGCGAATGGTCTGCATACGAACCCCAGATGGCAACGTAGACTCAACTTTGGGGATTTTAACCAAGTTGTGTGAGGGTTTCTGTATTGTTATAGGAGCCACCATTTTGCTAATAGAATGGGTCCTGGTTTTCACAACAATACAGACAGGAGTGTTAGCAGTAGTACCACTAGAGCCGACGATAACGGGGCCACCTTCAACAGAGTGGTGGCATGGTGAAGCCGAAGATGAGGAATCAGGCCCAACGACTGAACTGGAGTTGGAGCTTGGAGATGCAGTAGTGATGGCGTACACAGGGCAGTCAGAGTCAGATGCACTCGGATGCGTTGGAGAGCCAGCTGGAAGGGAAACTGGCATGAGAGTCTCAGTGTTGTGACTGGGGGCTGCCGACTGAAGCTCAAACAACTCATTCTGATGAAATAAGTTGAGCAGAGGATCCCCAAGAAGGGCATTGCTGGAGTCGACAGCCAGCATAGCATCATCCATGAGACCATGGCTTGGGATGCCAGAATTCAATGCTACACTTTCATTAATATCAAAGAATTCAAATTTGCTTCCGCTCTTACCGTCGACATACATACTTAAGTCGTCAATCTCAGTCAACAGATCAACATTTGGCAAATCTGCCATCTTGTGGGGGGGTACTTATCCTTGGCAAAAATAGTTGACGAAAATGTACTCTACCAAAGTCCGTTTCACTTCCCCATGCACTATATAATATTCCTTGACATAGTCTACAGTCACTTACATAGCAATTTTGCAGATATATCAACTTCAGGGGATAAAATAAACCCAAATTTGGTTACTCGTACCTGATGCTTCCAAAGTCTCCCCCAAACAATGAGCAAGGAGTGGCTAGAGCAGCTCGGGTATGCGCAGGCGCAGCTTCTGCAACTCTGATTGGTCGGCTCCGTCGGCGGCTTCCACGCGATTGGTTATTTATGACGTCACTTAGTCACTACCTTTATGTAAATACAGAACGTTGGGTCGATGTTCGAGGGATAACGGCTATAATAAGTGATTATGAATATACTGTACAGCAGATATATGCAAAATTTTATATAAAATTAATGTCACAATGTTAAACTTCAAGTTATTTATTAATTATACAATTTACAATGTAATGTTAACTTCCAACGTTAATGTTATCGAAAGTTATTTTACCCAGGATAAAACTTTCACCAATGTTAATTGCCCCTTTTTATACTTAACAAAGCACAAGGTTAATTTACCTAATTTTGAAGTTCATGTTATTTCATTAATTCAACATTCAAATTTTATCATTAATAAATTTATTAATAAACTGATATCGTCATAACAATTCAATTTCTTCAATTTCTTTCTTTATTATGCACCCCATACCCATCCCGTGGGCGGTGGTGTAAAGGGTTACAGAGGCACATAATCGGTTCAGGAACTGAACCCTCTAGTTCGTTTAGCTAAGCAAATAACAATTTTTGACGCTAGTTACAAAATTATTAATGTTATATATACATGTACACATTTTCATACATACATGTACATATATATATACGTATACATATATACATACACATACATATTTAATCACCCACACAAGTACACACATCAATAATCTTTTGTGTCACAATTAAGTGATTCAACAAGAAGCTCACAACAGTCACTATACAAGGCACTTTACATCTATGGTGAGTCACACAGTTACTAGTCTTGCTCCACACCCACCCAACTGGGCGGCAGCTTTACAGTCATGTGCTCCACACCCACCCAACTGGGCGGCAGCTTTAGTCATGTGCATGCATTACCTACAGTAAGCAAATTTTGGATACTTCGCTAGCTAAGATTTCGGGCAGCACATCATTATGAATGAAGTACTTACACATTTCTTGGACACTATTGATGGTGTTATCTCTAAATTCAGCGATTTTTTCATATTCCATCATATAATGACACAAAGTATGCGAATAATTATGCTGACAGAGTTAACATTTAGTCAAATCTACATCAGAAGATGTTACAAATTCCCAGAGATACTTGTAGCCGGACCTAAGCCTAGCAGTGGTAACATCTAGAAGTCTGCTAACATTATTGGATGACCCATAGACGTGCAGTTCTTCCTGCATAATAGAATGATGATAGATGAAGTAACTGGTGTGAATTTCACTTTGCCTCAAGTCTCTGAAATTTAGTTGATGTTCCTGGGATATTGCTGCCCTCAGGCTGCTCAAAGGCAGTCGAAGTTGGTAATCAATTCCCTCTTTACGAGCAAAAGTCTTGGCCAATTCATCAGTTCTATCATGCATTCGAAGACCAATATGGGAAGGAATCCACAAGAGACACTCTGACTCCATCATTGATTATTTCATTATATCTGTGTCTAGCTTCAGAGATAAGCACGTCACAGTTATGCCTTAGGGAGCTGAGGGCAGTCAAGGATGACAAGGAGTCACTTACAATTAGCGTGTCAACTTTGGATTCATATACGCCTTACCTTGAGGTTACCTTGAGGTGCTTCCGGGGCTTAGCGTCCCCGCGGCCCGGTCGTCGACCAGGCGCTCTGGTTGCCGGACTGATCAACCAGGCTGTTGGACGCGGCTGCTCGCAGCCTGACGTATGAGTCACGCTCGAATGCAAGGATTATGGCAACCAATTCTGTTTGAAGAGTGGAAGCCCAGTTACTTAGACGCGCTCCACACTCATGGGAGATGGAACCATCTCTCCCTGTCACAACAACTGCACTTCCAGCTGCACCATGGGACTGATGCAAGGATCCATCAGTGTAAATAATCTGGGAAAGGGAGCGCTCTCTGACTAAAGTATCAATTTGACTTAAGGCATTGTACTTTGCTTCTTGTCGAAGCAAAGCTTTTTCTTTAATCAGCTTTTTGGGTGGGAAAGTAGGGACAGTAATTTGGAAAGGAGTGATCTCCCATGGGGCAGGAAAGTGTTGTTGTTGTCTCTCTTGGTAGAGGTGATGAATATTATACATTCTGAGAACAGTGGCAGTTACGGTAATCCATTTGGAGGGATGCTGATCTTCAAGGGAGAAGGCTTGGAGGGCTTCAGTGCAGGGGTTAGGGTGGGTTAGCCTAAGCATCTTGATACCAATTAAAGCATTAATTTCAGTGATACGATCACTTACACATAAAATATTCGGTGCCTTCCTCATGTTTAGTAATTTAGTTGTACGGGGGCATCCGAGGATTATCCTCATGGCTTCGTTTTGCATCTTTTTCAGCCCTCCAAGCATTCTCTCAGGCTAATATTAGGGCAAGCATGGGTGCAGCATAATCAATCAGTGACCTAGTATATGAGAGATACATCATTTTGACAATTTTCACATTTGCACCATAGCTTGGATGGTAGCCTGCTACAGCCTTGAGAGCACGGAACCTCTCTCTACATTGGCGACCCAGTCTGGCTACAACATTGCGGTACAGTGGAACTTCAAGACCAAGGTATTTGTATCTGGTTACATAGTCGAGCAGAGAGCCATCATGCAACTGCATTTTGCGAACGGCCCCAAACGGCCCCACCCCGTCTGGGTGGGCGTCGGTTCAGGATCTTTATTTTCTCTACTGAGATGACCAAGCCTAGTTCCTGACATGTGTGCAATACAGAGTTCAGAACATTTTGGGTGTTGGTATACCCATTGGTGTGGATCAGTATATCATCCGCATAGCTAATGATGTGTTCGCTGGGCCTTCTAGTTTCTAAGTTTAAAAGTGCATTGATTAACGCATTGAACAGAGTAGGGCTGAGGACACCTCCCTGTGGAGTGCCAAGTTCAAAATCTCTCGTTACACTCCTATGCCCTTGGAACAGTACAGATGACTTCCTGTTGGATAGATAGCCTCTTATCCACCGTAGAAGCCATCCTCCAACATTCATTTTAGCAAGTTCGCTCAGAATGACGTGTGGGTAAGCAATGCCAAAGGCTGACTTAAGATCTTAAGACTTAAGATTTACAGTCTCCATTGTTGATGTGATGACTTATATTGAATTTTGTAACTAGCTCATCAAGATTGTAACTTGCTTAGCTAAATGAATTGTGGGGTTCAGTCCCTGAGCCCATTATGTGCCTCTGTAACCCTTTCCACTACCGCCCACAGGATGGGTATGGGGTGCATAATAAATGAACTAAACTGGTGTAGTGGTAAGACACTCGCCTGGCGTTCCGCGAGCGCTATGTCATGGGTTCGTATCCTGGCCGGGGAGGATTTACTTGGCGCAATTCCTTAACTGTAGCCTCTGTTTAACGCAACAGTAAAATGTGTACTTGGATGAAAAAACGATTCTTCGCAGCAGGGGATCGTATTCCAGGGACCATAGGATTAAGGACTTGCCCGAAACGCTACGCGTACTAGTGGCTGTACAAGAATGTAACAACTCTTGTATATATCTCAAAAAAAAAAAAAAGATCTAGGAAAGTGGTATATGGCCTATCAGTATGCAGGGTGAGGAATGTGGTAATACAGTGAGGTACACTCTTTCCATGCGTAAAGCCATATATCTGGGGAGAAAACATGTTACTAATTCTGTAAAGGAGACGGTTGAGAACCATCCTCTCAAGACACTTACAGAGTGGTTGTTGTCTAGTTGTCCTCTTGTGTATATAATTTTATATATATAGATAATTGCCCGAAACGCTGTGTACTAGTGGCTTTAGGTATTGTATGTACTAGCTCGATCTATAAATCAATCAGAATGTTTGTAACTCTGCATCTATGTATGTATTTTTCCTAAATAAAATATTATTATTATTATAAATAAAAATGAATAAATCAGCCGGGTAACCATAGAAAACGGAAACCTTGTAACGGAGACACTGGCGATCAGCTGACGGGATCAACACAAGACATTGCCTGAACAACACCACCGTTCTTCCAGTCATCACAGAGAGAAACCTTAACGCAAACTGCACGTATCATAAGGAAGATGGCAATGCTGCAAAGACACATTTCTTATGTGAGTGGATTCATTTTGATTTAGTTCATTTACAGTACACCCCCCCACACCAATTCCGTGGGCGGCGGTGGAAGAGGTTACAGAGGCACATAATTGGGATCTGGAACTGAACCTCAGATTCATTTAGCTAAGCAACTTACAGACGGATAAGCTAATTACATAGTTAATGTAAATTACATTGTAATTATTGCTATTATCTTATATCATGGTTGTTATATTGAACGCATAGTTTACTGCATTATATCTTGAATAATCCTCAAATTATGCTACAATGTACCTGTTGATAACCCTTAAATTTACTTTAATATACCTACTAATCTTGTCAAATTTTTTATACAATGTAATCTTTTATACTTTCTTACAATGTAATTTTGTATACTTACAATGTATTTTTTATACTCATTGTATTTTTTATACTTTCTTGCAATGTACATGTAAACATTTTTTCAATTTTGCTAGAAATTACCTTCTTAAAATTACTCATTAGATTATGGACCTGCCCGAAATGCTATGCGTGCTAGTGGCTTTACAAGAATGTAAAGCAACAATGCTTTGTACTCTCATAAACCCAATGTACTGTATCTTCTTGTATAAATAAATAAATAAATACTGTATATAAATAGTCTTTTATGGTACAGTTGGTTCACGAACTGGACCACAACGGTTTCTAAACTTAGTAATTTAAATTTGTGGTGAGCCAGTTAAATACCAGTACCGTATTTACCAATCATGCACCCCACATGGATCTCATGGGATGGGGGGGAGGGTGGAAGGTTTGGTCATGTGCATGCACTACCTACTGTATGGCTTCTGGTCACAGGATGGGGTTGGCTTCTGGCTCATGCTCCTGATTCAACCTCAGTGCTGGGTAGACATCTTGCTCCTGTTCAACCATGTTGCTGGATAACACCTGACTCCTTATTCAACCTTGTTGCTGGTTAATATTTGACTCTTGGTTCAACCTTGTTGCTGGGTAATGTCTGACCTTTGGTTCATCTTTGATGCTGGGTAATGTCTGACTCTTGGTTCATCTTTGATGCTGGGTAATGTCTGACTCTTGGTTCATCTTTGATGCTGAGTAACGTCTGACTCGTGGTTCATCTTTGATGCTGAGTAACGTCTGACTCGTGGTTCAACTTTGTTGCAGTACCCCCTAATAATTTTGTATGTTGTGTAACAAGATGATAGAAATGGGAGAAATTAGAGAAGCTATCAATAGGTTAAAGATAGAAAAGGCTCCTGGTATAGATGGAATAACTGCAGATATAACAATCCATTTTGATGGGGACAGGCAGGGTGTATATATTCATATACACCTTGCCTGTCTGTATATACTGACTGTATATATTCATGTTGAGCTAATACAGTACTGTATTGAGTTCCCTACAAGGCTGAACTCCTTGCTCCTTCCCATGATGTAACCTCACAACAGTTGACTAACTCTCAGGTACCTATTTACTGTTCAGTGAACAGTAGCAGTAGGTGATAGGAAATGTGATGAGCCGTTTCTGTTCCGCCTGGGATTCAAACCCAGGATTCCTGACTGTGAGTCAAGAATGAGCTGAGACCTTCATGTTTTGGAGTTGGAGGTGAAATGGTGGTAGATGTAATGTTAACCCTAAGAGAGGACAATTCTAAAAATACAAAATAAATTTAGTTTTGTTTGACACAGTTAAAAATGTGGAAGATATGAAAAAATAATTTATTTCCTTGACTATTCACGGTTTCATATTAAATTCTGATATTAATTTGGGTAAAGAGTTGCCCTAATATTCTTGTAGGATTTAAGAGACATCATTATTAAATAAGGGTGACAACATCAAAAGTGATCTCAAACTTAATATATTGCTTACATATTTTAGGCCCATTTTACTACATCCTTCAAAATCATTACAATTAATAACTTTATATTTACATATTCAGTAATAAGGTTTATTTTTTTACTAGGTAATAATAGAGCAATTTAAAATATTGGTAATAAGAGGAATTTATAAGCAGACCCCAAAATACTAAAGGGGGTATTATATTAATGAAATTACTAAGAGCATATGTTGTCCTCTTTATATTTAATTTATACTAGTATTACTCAGTACATTGAAAACTCATCATCATTTGCATGTTATTTAAATAATATTCAGCATAGTATATATAATGCTCATCTCATTACTTTCAAGGGCTGGAAGGCATGCAACAGTCTAAGCTTGAGGCATTCTGATCTCACTGGTGGAATACTTCGTGGTCTTCACACAACACAAGCGGTGCAGAAGGTGCAGTCTGGTCGCTACAAGGTCACCAGAAATAGGTCAAAACCTCTGACCTATGAAATGGCCAATCAACCCTGTCAGATTGCACATAGAAAATCTTGGAATAGCTGGAATACAAGTAAGAATAGTATATTAATTACTGTAAAGTATATATAGTGAAGATAGGGTTTGAGACCGAACGTAAATATTGAGACCAGTTGCAGTGCATAATAAAATGGATATGTGGAATGGCAGAGATAGCCAAAGATGCAAGGCATTTGACTAAGTCAAAAGAAAGCCAGCTATGTGACCAGGTAGTGAGAGTCAAGAGAAGACCAAAGACCCAAGATATGAGAGCAGTACCTTAAAGTTTTTAAACTTTTTGAAACCAATGAATCCTTATATTAATAACCTAAAGGCCATATATCAAAGCTGTATTAATACAAAGCAGTTTATTAACTTTATTGGTAGACTGTTACTGGAAATTCACAAAAAAAGGATATCTAATTTTATTCCTCTATTTCTATCCTCGGTAGCTCCATGGGGCTTAAGTGCTGGTACAGTACTTTTAAGTCTAAGGGTTGTGCCAGGCCTCTGAGAAACACCCTGACTTATTAGAAATGAGGACCAGATTCTGGCTCTCTATAAGATGTTGGGTTCCATGGGGGATCAGAGATGTACCCAAAACTGAGAAAACAAAAAAGAAAGGTTTGGGAAACAAAAAAATTACCACCTGAATGAAAGAAACTAAAATGGGAAAACAAGGCAAAGAATAGTTTGCTGTGGGTGAACTACCCTAACCATAGTGCTCCCATGTCATCGCAGGTCCCAGCCTACCACATACCTTAATCACTCATCTGGTACTGTGTGGCTTGGATAACCTTTTCTGGGACCTACTCGAAGGTACGGTAGTTCTGCTTGTTGCTCAAGTTATGTGTTCTGTCCCTAGCAATCGACTCGTTTTTCCTGCCACACCAAATATACCTGCTCTGAGGAGTTTGGATTCCTTCTCTACAAGCTGACTTCTCTTGAGTAACATCCCTTCCAGGTAACCTATGGGACTTGTTTGCCAATGTGAAGCCTGTTGAGGTTGATGTTATAGTAACATATTTATCATATGTACTGTGAAAAGTAATGGCTTACAAAAATCATTGTTTTCTATGCAGCAGTGGGTTATGTTAGGTGAGTGGCTTGGATTTGAGCATTTTTAGTTAAGTTAGGACATTGAATGTTGTGGTACATCGAGAAAACAAGATGAGCTAATATCCCCAATGAAAAGTGAAGACCTCGGGGCAGAGCCAGGACCCACACATTACAAAGGAAGAAGAGATAACAGTGTTTTCCACAAGGGAGGATCTGCAGGCAGGAAGCACTGGCTAAACTGTCCCTGCAGCTGACATGGGAGGGAAACACTCATTGACAGCCCTGCTACCCCAAGGAACCATCAACTCTGAGCAATGAAACCCAAAGATGCTAAGGAACAAAGAAAGGGGACATGAAGCTGAGTGAATAATGCCAGATGGGCCAAGAGATGGAGAGCAAACTTAGAACAGGCAGACAACACAAGCCATTCCAACTCTGCATAAAATAACATGAAGGGAACCATGTCCAGGCAACCACATTAATCCTGCTCTGCAAGCAACACAAATGACAATGTGGTCTCACAAAGTGGCAGCCACCTAAAACCCTCAAGCTAGGCACTGTTAATTTCTACTGTATTTCTTAGTAGCACTGTTCAATGAATGACTGCTCCATTCTCTCATTGTGTATTCCCCAACACTTTACAACTGTGGCATTCTGTCTCTCAACAGTTTTCTTGTTTTTACAACAACTTTTAAAATACAAAGTACTGTATACCTAAACAAGCATCCCTTAAGAATTTATAAATTTACATATTTTTCTTTCTGGAAGGTACAATTTTATCTGATTGCTGGGGACAGTCATTGTCTAGCCACTTTCTGAATTATCTTTGATTTCATGTGCATTTGTCGTTGATTGCTTATCAGCTAAGTGCAATTTCAACAAATTCTGGTATAACAAGCTGAAGAAGGAGAGTTACTGCTATAATAAAGTTAAGCATTTTAATCAATTTATGACATTTCAACAGCAAGTTTGTATGAAGGGATGCGTGAGCCGGAAACGGTTGTTGAAGATATCTTCATCCGGAAGTTCATGACAGGAACGTGGCACAACTTGTTCGTGTCAGAAGTGAGTGCAAGTGGGTTTTTATGTCTATAGTGAATAATTTTAGATATTAATGAAGAGTTTCTGACATAGAAATAAGTATGAGTCTTTGTGTGTAATGAAATACTGTACCTCTTTCTGGTGGATCCTTGCAACTCTGTTCCCCTTTAAAGGGGCTTCGATTTTCGCCTTCCTGGCTAAGTGAATTAAGTTGTCTAGTTGAGAAATTGACAAACTAGGCATGTGGCCACCTAGCAGCATGCGGGTATAATTAATGAGTGAATTAATTATTCACTCATTAATTATCATCACTTATTTCACAACTCACTTGAAAGAGTTGTGCATGCAAAAACCATTTGATTTGTTTGTTGTGTTTGCACAGTAAACACCATTGTTTACTGTGCACCCCCATACTCTTCCTCTGAGCAGTAATGCAAAAAGATAAGAGGGCACAAAAAAGTCTTAATCAGACTTTGGGGGATGTTTTACAATAGCTTTTACAATTTACCTGCACTCCTTATAATTAATTATAATGATAGCCAGCTAGGCTCTGTTTTGGCTATCAGCCCCTTGCCAAAAATGAATCTGTTTTATCAACAACAAATATGATCAGATGATTTTTTTTTATATTGGTCTTATGAAATTTTCTCCTACTTATCTGCACCAGTTTTAATGGCCGACTGTTTTTTTTCCCAGATATTGTTATGCGATTATGCCATTGCAGCTTTTAAATTTCCCTGGTCACCTATCAGTATACAAACACTACGTCCTGCTGCTGGTTATATTTTGTTTCCTCATACTGCTACTTATACCACTCCCACACTGCATCATCAGCACCCTTTATGCTAGTCCTCTTCCTGCATTGCTGTGGCGTATGGCTTTTATTACTTTCATTTCAAGCAAATTAATTAAAGCTCTTAGATTTGGCTATCAAAATATTAAGAAAAGATGGCTGGTTCACTTGATAGATGTTCTTTGCCCTCAACACTCCTAGAAATCCACTCTCAAGCTTTTTAATTATATTTACCCTGTTCTCAAGCTATCACAGAACATTTCTTGTTTATTCCAGTCATAATAGAAATAGAAACTCTGACCAATACAATACTGGATCCGAAATTATAGCGAATTTGTTTTGTAAAGATGTTTTAAAAAATTTAGTGATAAATCCAGGGGTACTAAGGGGAATTTGTTCGAGTACCTGTACCACATGCGATTCAATGCTTGATCAGTGGATATGTGCTATCTTGGTGCACATCAGAGGACTTTGTGGCACCTTAGGCCTCTAAAATCTGGCTGCACCATTCTCACAACTTAACTACAGTACTCTGCTTTAACTGAACAAAATGGCACACACATGAGAATTTTGTTAATCAAGAAAACTGGTGTCTAGAAGTGGTATAGTTGCCTGTACAGTACTCTAATTATATTGAAAAAATATAGTATGTTATTTTTTATTTACAGGTTATCATCAAAAGACAACACAATATGATTCGTATTGCAGGAATTGTTCAGCAGAAAATAGTTGCTCGCAAGATGTATTTCCTGATTGGTTACTGTGAGGAGCTTCTCTCATATTGGCTGAAGTGCCCCGTTAGGTTAGAACTACAAACTGTACCTGATAAAAAAGACGTGGTGTACAAATATATTTAACTTGTGTATGTCTTGTGATACCTTGCATGATGTCACAGAAATCTTTGTAAAGTTTGTTTGTGAGAGTAAATAAATATATGAATTTTATCTGTTTTCAATCATTTCCATGTTTCTTATCCAGATGTTAATTTTTGTTTTTTTAACCTTGTGGACAAATTATTATATTGTTCACCATAATAGGGGGTTTATTATACAGATGAGCCACAATAATGTGGTTGAAGATATGAAGGGTTTATTATGTGTTGATCCCCCAATGTATATGCAAATGGAGTAATTATGATAGCTATTTGAATAAAAGATTAATATTTTCATATCTTTCAACTATTTGGCATCCCCAATCTTATGGGTTTGTCTGAATTTTTTTTTTGTTTAACTTGTATGGTCTGTATTATAAGTAGAATACATACCTTCATGTATTGACTTTAAAACTTTCAAGATTGACATATGAAGATGCAAGGCAGGTCTCTATTATTCTTAGACAATGTGGCTTATGTCATTCAACACCTTGGATGGAAGTTTGTAAGAGTTCTATCATTTCTCTCATCTTGATACACTGATTTTGACTTTCAAAATGGCAGTTCTAATTTCATTTTATTTCTCAGTTTGGATTTTATGTAAATAAATAAATAAATATGTTTATTTAGGTAAGGTACATACAAGTGATGTTACATTAATGGATTGATATATAGATAGAGCTAGTACATACAATGCCTAAAGCCACTATTACACAATGTGTTTCGGGCAAAAATATGTAGATTATCGAGCTGAATATTCTTTCTATTTCAGCATTTGAATATAGTATTAATGCAGAGATGGCACATTTGCCAATTTCTTCAGATGGATATGAACTGAAGGCATCTTTAAATTAAAGAACTTCTTTCCAGAAAGTCTGTACAGTATCTGTTTTATTATTCTAATCTACTAAATTTATTTTTGCTAATTGGTATTCAGCCTTAGCTATTGTTTCTTGTGAAGCACCTATAAGCACTTCATGATCTCACAAATTGAAGAAATGTCGTTGCTTGGCAGCAACATATTTGCTGAGAAAAAGAGAGAGGTTTTGCAAAATGTTTATATTATCAGGTAGTCCCTGCTTCAGACATTAGAGAAACAGACTTAAGAGAAAACTTTGACATTGGTGTCTCCAAATATATTCTTCTTTTGTTGTAATAAGTTTATTGGCTCTTAATTCTTGAATTTTTGTTTCAAAGTGGTAACCCAGGTATGGCTTTGGGTTCAAATATCCATTAATACTGCAAGTGAGCAGGTCAGTATTGTAGGTAGGAAGCACAACCTACTTTCCAATTAATCTAACAAGCAGAAGGAGATCATCAAGCAGCTTTACCTTATCAGTGTTTTTGGACATAAATACAGTAGTTGATTCTTTGCACTTCTCTAAGGATGGGTTGCATAAAAAGTAGAATTGCAAATCTTTTCCATAGAATACATGTAATTTTTTTTACCTGCGTAGCACCTTTCACTTTCTATCAATTTATTAAAATGATCCTTCAATTCTGACCATTGTTCAGCTGGTTGAATAGACAGCCACCTTATTTTATAGTTAGAAGGTATTTTTAATGGACTTGTGCCATCACAGATTCTTATGACTTTTTATATTCAACTTGTCTAACAGAAGAGTGAGAGTACCATTTATGGGTTTCTGCAGTGAGAAATTTCAAATATCTACGTACACATTCAGAAGATGTGTAAGAAACTATTGTATTCAGTGGCACACACATCTTATTAAAATGAGTAATGGAACTTGCTCTTTTAGTTTTGCATAAGCTATTGTTAATTCCAATCATGAAACTCGCATTATCCATTCCTACTCCAATAAGGTTCTTCAAGTTCAACTTTCTATTCGATAATAGCAATTTCCTCTACAATACTCTCAGGATCACATTTTTAAAGCAGAACCAGTTCAAGATAGGTTGACACAACTATATAATGATTTTTACAATAATAAATAATGGACACTTCTAATAACTTATGAACTAAAACGTCATTAGTCTTGTCAAACAACAATCTGCATCGACTGTTACGTATACCTAGTATTATTGTAATATATCATTAATCAACTCCTGCTCAGAATGGCTACACAAAACATTCTTTATGATAATATTGTACCATGTGCAATGATTTTTCAAATCTGATACAATTTTACTGTCATCAATATTGTTCTTGCACAGATCAGCTAGATGGTCACAGTTCCTTAGAGGAGAGTGACAACATAAGTGCTTGGCAATTGCTCCTTCCAGTTTTGATGATTTATGTTTAGGAGGTGTAAATATTGAAGTAACATGTGTATAGTTCTTTAAAAGGCTTGCATTTATATGTTTTATACACAGCGTGATTTTTCAAATCTTGATATTTTCCTTTTTAACTCCATTTTGCAGTACTTCCAGTGTGCTCTTGTATCATCACCTGGATCAACTTTTATCCAATCCTTCAAAGTTTGTCTTGTAGCTGTTCCTTTCTGAGTGTTTGATTGTACAGCTTAACTTTTATAATTTTTGTAAAGGGTTATAAACTTTAAATATGCTAATACAGTAATATTCAAAACAATAAAAATATGATAAAGCACTATTATCAGTTTATATAAAAATACTCTCAATGTATGCCATTACAGTACTCAGAAACTCATTGTTGCAGAGATGTTACCGAGTCACCGGTTATACTGACTACTAATCGTGTGTACTGGGTGTGCCACTTGCTTTATACAAAAAAATAAATCAACCAGTGAAAAAAAAAAAAGAGAAACGTACCAATAGAACACTCTTGAGACTTGCAAATATCTGCTCTGCTATAAATTTACTAAAATCATATGAAAACATCCAAGATTATATTAAACCATCTAGATCTACATCTAACATCTGAATAGCATTTTCTAACATCCACACGTAACTAAAATCATCTAGATGTAAAATATTGAAATTGGCAACAATGGAGCTGTGCCAGTGCACCAGTGATAAATTCTTCAGTTCACCAGACATGAACGTGAAAGCACCTCCAATGTCTTTTGCCTCCTTGGTGCTCCCCTATATCTTCATATGCTCCTGTTCACCTTGGTGCTCCTTGTGTCCCTTTGTAGGCCTGTGCTTCTCCACTTCAGCCCGCTTCCTCTTTGCTTCTCTCGATGTTTGCACCCCATGCCTTCCTTTTCTCTCCATGCCCTCGCGTATCCTTCATTTGCCATCGTGGTCCTGTGTACCTCTGGTGCCCTATGGCCCCATACTTTATGCTTCCCTGTACTGTACTCTCATCACCCTCATGCACTTTCCCCCATCCTGTGCCCCTAACCACTTAGGCTAGACAGTAGAGTGACGGTCTTGCTTCATGTAGGTCAGCATTCAATCCCTGACCATCCAAGAGGTTGGACAACATCCTTTCTCCCCGTCCCATCCCAAATCCTTACCCTAATCCCTTCCCAGTGCTAGTCAGTCATAATGGCTTTGCGCTTTCTCCTGATAGGTCCCTTCCCTTCCCCTCAGGTGTTCTTGTCCACATCCCCCCACCCCCACCTCACTCGCACCTTGCACTGTTCCTTGTATCACTGCATGCCCTTGTGTGTTCTTTGCTCCACCCCTGACCCTTGCTGGAGTTCCCTTATGTTTCTCCTCCCACCATGTGGGATTTTATTTCCTTCTCTCCTTGTGCTGGAGTTTCTCTGCTTCTCCCAGATCAGCTGGCATTCTCCCCCAGCACATTGATAAGTTTATTACTTCACTCTCATGCTGGAGCTTTTATGCTTCTTCCATTGCAGGCTGGAGTTCTCCCCCAGCATGCTGGTATCTTATGTCTACCTCTGTCACATGCTGGAGTTGTTTCATTTTTTACCCTGGTGGTCAGGGCATGCTTCTCCTTCCTGCCAAGTCACAACAGTCTGCATTCCTGCTCAAGCATACGACTCTGGCAAGCTAAATGGTGGGTACCCCTCTTATTTTTTTTTACCTTTCCTGGCCAGGCTTTCTTTTACCCACCTCAAGTAAGTAATTATCAAAAGAAGGCACCAAACCGGGAAGGCTATGTATTACCCACCTCAAGCTTCCTCCCTTGGTCCCTCTGCTCCCCGGGCCCATGCCCACCTGCTTCCCTGCTGATTCGCCAGCTGCCGCCTGGGGCCCCCTTGGCAACCCAGCTCATGTTCACCCCTGCCACCCTGCAGACTCACCAGCTGCTGCCTGGGCCTCTGGGCAACCCAGCCCACTTACACCACTGCAGATTCACCAGCTGCTGCCTGGGGCCCCTTGGCAACCTAGCCCACTTACACCCCTGCAGACTCACCAGCTGCCGCCTGGCCCCCTTGGCAATCCAGCCCATGTCCACCCCTGCCACCCTGTGGACTCACCAGCTGCCGCCTGGGCCCTTTGACAACTTAGCCCACGTCCACCCCTGCTAGCCTGCAGAATCGCCAGCTGCTGCCCTGTCCACATCTAGCCTCCTCCCTTTCAAACCCCCTCGCTGTCCGGTCCGTTGATGCCATGAGGGGGGCTTGGTGGGCAGCTGCCGGAGTGTGATGCTCCATGAGACTGTCCTATTGTGGCCATATGCTCCTGCTGTCCTCACAAATTGTGCTGGACAACTTTAACTTTTTTTTTTTCCTTTCCAAATGTTTTTTTTTTCTCTCCCCCTCCCCCACACCTCTTCTCCTTTCTAATTGTCATTTCCCACCGACCTAGCTTTTGCCTGTTTTGATCATTCTTTCGGCCTTCTTTTGTTTTGACGCCAGAGTGTTTGAGAATGCATACTCTTGCACCCGTAGAACTGTAGTACCCAACGTCTCAAGCTAGGGGACCCTTTTATTGTCAATCCTCCTTTTGTCACTGAACCCGATCTCGACGGACTGACGGTTCTTAAGGTGGAGTTTGTGGGGCATATACTCACGACGCACCCCTGGGGGGGGCCCCGGCAATAAGTCTCTTGTTAGGTGTCCTGCCTCTAACTGTGGCTCCGTGGTTGTTACGGCCCTCTCGGGTCGCAACGGGATTCGTACTCTGATGTCGTTAGAGGAAGTTGTATCCGGCCCCAAGCCAGTAGTGGCTTTCAAGGGATGAGATCCGTGACGCAAATAAAATAAAAGGGGAAGG